CTCTAGAGTTTTGGTCCTTGTCCCCTGGCCGTGGGGACAATGGATGGGCCAGTCTGTCCCCTGGGAGGAGGGGCTCCGGAAGCAAGCACCCCCCACCACCACACACACACATACACATTAGTCCGGCTCTTCTCCAACTCTTGTTTCTTGGTCCTATCTGCCCCAACGTGGTGGTCCTTTGGGGTCAGAGATGCACCTTGGGACTGGCAGGCCACTGTGCGGTGGGGGGGCCCTCAGCTTCTTATCGGAGAAGTAGAAGGTTTGGGGGACCAGGATTCCTACTTTCTTTATAAGAGGTGTCCACCCGGAGAGGCCCTGAGGGGTCATCACAGCAGGGCGGGGCCCCTTTGTGATTGTTGAGTGGAGTTCAGCCCCACTCTTGGCTGGTTGATAGGGGCTTTCTAGGGTGTATGCACCCTGCTCAGGGTTACGGTAATTCTCCCTATCACCCAGTTGCTCCCATGGAGGGGATTAGCAAACTGCAGCCGAGAGCCGGGGGTGAGTGCCAGGGCCCCAGGGTCCCTGCCTTTCACTGAACACTGCTATCCGTGAACCCCTTGGCTTTCCAGCGGGCTCTGAGCCGAAAGCTGTTATCAGGACAAAGGCCACTGCCTCCCTGGACTTTATCGCGCGCGAGCACACACACACACACACACACACACCCCACTCCCACACACAGAAGTACCTCCGAGTGCCTCTCTGCGGACCTACTCTGGCCAAGGCTGGGACAGCCATGTGGGAGTTGAGGAAGTGAAGGTTTAGGAGTTCAAAGGCAACTGAGAGTCCAAGGACCTAGTGGCCACAGCAGAGGCCTAGTGCAGAGGGCAGTGACCTGGATGCCCCAACAGGACAGCACTGTAGTGATAAGTAGGCCAGGCATCTCAGAAAATGCCTTTTCTTTCCTGAGGATGGGTTCCCTGCCCGCCATGAGCCATCCCTGTCGGGCTATGCAGTGGGCAAGGAGGGTGTGGCCACGGAGGAGCCTGGGACCAGAGCTCAGGGATGTTCAGAGTGGGAGAGAGGATCCTGATGCCTAAGGTAGCACTGTGTGAAGGAAGACAACCCCCCACCCCCCAAAACAAACAAACAAACCCCAAACCAAACCAGAAAGGGGCTGTGTGCTTGAGGGGTGCCTGAAAGAGAGGCTCCCCTCCCCACCCCACAGTTGGGGCAACATGGGTTTCAGGAGCCCTGGTGGCGTAGTGGGTGCGCATTGGGCTACGATCTGCAAGGTTAGCTGTTTGAAACCACCAGCCACTCCTCGGGAGAAAGTAAGGACATCCTGTTCATTCCTGTAATGAATTATCGTCTTGGAAACCCACGGGGGCAGTCCACCCTGTCCTGTCGGCTCGTCACGAGTCGGCATCCAGTCAATGATTTGACATCTAGTCTTGTTTTGGTCTGGCCCTGGTTAGGTTCGTCGATCTCCGCCCATGGTGACCTCCAGTGTGGCAGTCACCTGCCCCGCTGGGCTTCCTTGGCTGCACTGTTTGCAGAAGCCTATTGCCAGGCCTTGCTTCTGGGGCACTGTTGGCCAGATTCAGCCCGCCATCTTTGCATTTCCGCCCCAAACCGTTTGTGCCCCCTGGGGACAATGCCAAGCCCAACCCACTACCACCTCCTGGAGTCCAGCCGACAGCAGCCTTCTAGCACTGGGTACACCTGTGCCCTAGGGGCTCTGAGCCTGCCTGTCTCCCTCTGAGCAGACAGCCTTCTCGTCCTCCCTCCCAGTGGCTGTCCTACCTACCTGTTGCTAAGGAGTCCATTCGGACTCATAGTGACCCTGTGTCTGAGGCTGGAACTCTTTACAGGAGTAGACAGCAATGTCTTTCCCTAGAGAAGAGCCTGGTGGGTTTGAACTGCTGACCCCGAGCCCAAATACATTGCCCATTACGCCACCAGGACTCTGGCTGACCAGTGCTTAACCCAGCTCACCACCAGCACACTGGGGAATAGTGGGAGTAGATGAGTGGCCCCTGCCCTCAGGAACCCAGGACTGTGCTGGGGAGACAGTTGGTAACTTTGTTTCGTCGTCTTGTTTTTTAGTTACTTTTGACAAGCACTTGGGGGAAGCAAAGGGATCCTGGTGGCACAGCAGGTTAAGTGTCCGGCTGCTAATTGAAAGGTCAGCGGTTGCAGGCCACCAGATGTCCTGCGGGAGAAAACAGAGGCCGTCTGCTCCTGTCATGACTGACAGCCTCAGAACCCTAATGGCTCATTCCACTCTGCCCTACAGAGCTGCTGAGTCCCGCTTGGCGGCAGTGGGTTTTTTTATGTTAAACTAGGGCCCTTGGTGGCAAACCGGTCCAAGATCCGGGCTGCCAATGGAAAGGCTGGCAGTTCAAACCCACCACCTGCCCTGAGGGAGAAGGGTGAGCCGTTCCCATAAAGATTGGCAGCCGTGGACACCAACCCCACCCCCCCTGCCAGGGGCCGGTTCCACTCCATCCTACAGCGTGGCTGTGGGTTGGGGTTGGCTCAGGCCACAGCAGTGGTCTTCATCTCCATACAGGAGCCCTGGGGCTCCCCGTGAAGATTAAGTTAAACAGGGGTTGGCACTTGAGACCCACCCACCGGCGGAGGGGTGGGAGAAAGGCCTGGCCACCGGGTTCTGTCAGATCATGTTGTGAACCAGGCTCACAGCGGCCGGTCGAGAGGACTCGCCTGGAGGACTCTGTGGCCTGTGCTGCCCTCGGGTTGCCCCAGCTGCAGTAGGTTCAGCAGCTGCGTGGTGGTGGTGTGTCTGGTCCGAGTTTGCTGTGAAAGAGGGTCCTCCCCTCTTTTCCCCAAAAGTCACAGTTGGGAAGCCATTTTGAGCTGGGACCTGAGGACGACGTGCAGCAGGGGAGAGTCGAGTGGGGTGCTGTGTGCGTGTGGGGTGGGGGGCTGTTGTGTGCACAGGCCTAGAGCAGGCAGGAGCCTGGAGCAGAGTGAGCGAGGCTGGCGGCAGGGTGCTGACCAGTGTGGAGACAGGGCCAGGCTGGGGCTGGGGGAGGGCATTGGGATAAAGGCCAGACAGTGAGAGGAGGTCAGTTCATGAGGACCTCAGCTTCTGTGGGCAGAGGCCTGGACTCCTCTCCGAGGTCCCCAGTGGCCAGCTGGGAGCCCCTGGGGGTGTGGACGGGTGTTCCCTTCAAGGCTGGAGGTTCCTGCAGACCCTGATGCAGCACAGAAGAAAGGCCTGGGGACATCTGAAAGCCCAGCCAAGGCGACATCTACGGGGCACAATTCTGGTGATGCATGTGGGCTGGTCTGTGCCCCAGGCAGCTCCACAGTCAACGGTTATGCACACTGCACTCAGTGGGCTGGGTCACGGGCCAGGGGACTTGGGAGAGGGTGAACTGGCATAGTCTGGCCCACACGCCTTGCCATAAGCTGGTGGCAGGTAGGCTCTGGCGTGGGGTGTCTGGTGCATGTCCCTGCCTCCTGCAAGCGCAGGCTCCCCCAACAGGGTGTAGGGCCCAGCCCTTGGAGGCAGTCCTCTGGGCATGGGGTAGGCGTGGGCAGAGCAGATAGGAGTTGTGAACTGGGCCAGGTCAGGACCACACAGAGGCCGGGAAGCCCAGGACGGCCCCCCACCCGGGAGCTATTCCTTCCATGGGTGCCTGGTGCCTTAGCAAGAAGTCCCAGGGCCCAGACTCGGAGACAAGCAGCTGGGTCCCCACACTCAGTGGCCAGGGCAGGGAAGACCTCCCTGGGCCTTCAGACTCAGGACTTTGCCCCGATTCATGTGGCTCAAGGTCTGGGAGAGCCCTGGGGCAGAGTGGTTATGGGTTGGATGCTAACTGCAAAGCCCACAGTTTGAAACCACCGTGGGAGAGAGACTTTCTACTCTTATAAAGAGTTAGAGTCTCAGAAACCCACGGGCAGTTCTACCCTTCCCGTAGGGCCACTGTGAGCCGGAATCCACTCAATGGCAGTGAGAGAAGGCCTGGGAAGTGCCCACCCTCCCCCTGTAGCCCCAATTGCCCCTTCCCAGTGCTGTTGGGGGAAGCAGCCCTCAGAGCCCCTCCTAACTCATCCTAAGGCACAGCAGGCCTTCGACTTCTGGGGCCACTGCCACCAGCCACCTATGCCCCAGGAACTACTCCCCCAGGCTGGCAGCTGCAAGGTCAAGCGCAGGCGCCCCGGGAGAACCTGGTCTCTTCCAGGCCATCTTCCTGCACCCCACGTCCTGCCGCCTCATGGCCGTCTTCTGTCTGGCCTATCCCTCCCTGATGTCATGAGGACACCAGGCCCCAGTGTGACTACAAAGACCAAACCCACCGCCATCGAGTCCACTCTGGCTCATACGGAGCCTGTGGGACCTAGTGGATGTGCCCCTGTGGGTTTCTGAGTCTGCATGGTACTTGACGGGGAGCAGACAGCCTCGTTGTTTTCCTGCGGAGCGGCTGGTGGGTTTGAACCACCAATCCGGCAGTGGGCAGTTTGACACTTTCTTCACAGCACCACCAGGGCTCCTTGCTAATCCAGCCTGTGCCCTATCCCACCAGCAAAGGTCTGCCTTCTAGAGAGGATCAGCCTGCCAGGCCCCGGGGTTAGAACTCTAAATCATCGCTTGTGGACATAGCGATGCTCCCCGCCCCATGTTCCCCGAGCCGGAGAGTGGCTCACAATGTTCCAGCGTGCAGAGGGTGCCGCCACAGTGGAGGCGGCTGTGGCCTCTCAGAAGTTGACCGGCAGGTGGTTTCACCCCCACCCCCACTCCCAGTGTGTGATTCTCAGCCAAGCACTTGACCGCTGTGCCACCAGAGCTCCATCCGGTTTGGCCGGTGGCACTGTCAGCCTTGTCCCGGTCTTGGACTCTGTTGTGATTGGGACTTACCAGCACCCAGTCCCTTGGGTCAAACCTCCAGGGCACACCTGAGGGGCTGGGCTCAGGCGCAGGCTGACAAGCTCTCAGCACTCAGGCCTGGCTGCCATCCACGCGCCTCCCCTGTGCCAGCTCCCGGGCTGCACCAGGAAGCAGCGCTGCCATGCCCCAGCTTCCATGTGGGAGGCCAGACCTCTGGGGCCTAGGGACCCCAGCAGGCGCCAGCTCTGCCTGGAGGTAGCAGGAGGCAAGGAGGCACTGGCTGCAGAGCCTCTTTCAGGGTGAAGGCGGAGCTCCGAGGGGCAGCTGTGACCCTGTGTTTCCGTGCAGGGGACTTCGTGCAGCTGCCCGTGCCTGTCATCCAACAGCTGTACCACTGGGACTGCGGCCTCGCCTGCTCCAGGATGGTGCTGCGGTGAGCGGGGCCTGGGGCGGGGACTGGGGCCACTGCAGTGGCCAGGGCTCGGCCAGGCCTCCACAGCTCCCCCGTCACAGCCAGGCTCTCCGTGGCCAGGTGGGAGTCCCTGGCCATGGACAGGCTCTCTCCGAGCTCGGAGTTGAGAATGAATGACCCACGCTGGAAGGCATTGAGGTCCCTGCCCTTTCTGACTGTAGCACCTGGGTCCCCTGCCCCCTCGTGTGCAGCCAGTGGGGCGAGGCCAGGGGGCCTGGCTTCAGTGCCCATCTGCCGCAGGTACCTGGGCCAGCTGGACGACAGCGAGTTTGAGAGCGCCCTGCAGGCGCTGCAGCTCACCAGGAGCGTCTGGACCATCGACCTGGCCTACCTCATGCGTCATTTTGGCGTGAGGCACCGCTTCTGCACACAGACCCTGGGTGTCGACAAGGGCTATAAGAATCAGGTGAGGCGCCGCCCAGCTGGAGGAGGGGACGGGACAGGTGGTTGGGCCTGCCAAGTCCAAAGTCCGTGGGCCGGGCAGCAGGCCAGGGCCCCCTGGAGGTGTGTCCCAGGACCCAGAGGGCTGGCAGTGGAAGAGAGAGCAGTGGGCAAGTGTTGCTGCAGTGGGTGAATGCGGGGCTGCTGACGGAAAGATCATCAGCTCGAACCCACCGCTGGTCCTTGGGAGAAAGGTGAGGCTTTCTGCTCCCGGGAGTAGGCTCAGAAACCCTATGGGGGCAGTCCACTCTGTCTATAGGATCACACCAGTGGGGCCTCGGTTCCAGTCTGAAGGCAGCCCGGATGCCAAGGAAGCTAGCTAGTCCCTTGTCAACAGACTGATGTGGTGAAACAGACAGACAGAACACACACACACACACACACACACACACACACACACACACACACACACACGGAGGCTTCCCCACAGCGTGTGGGAATCCCATACTCGCACCATCCCATTTTCCCAAGAACCTTTGGCCACCCTGCTATAAAACCAGCCATCACAACTGTACAGTGCGTGTGAGCCGCGAGCTGCCGTAGCCTCTGGAGACCACCTTCCTGCCACTGACCGCAGTGTCTGAACGGCCACCATGGGCCAGGTGCTTTGTCCCAAAGGGCCGGCTCTCCAAGCTGGAGAGCTGATATTCGGGGCAAAAGTCATCCTTTTCTGTCTCTTTTGAAGAAGACGGCCAACATGATCAGCCCCTATGTGGCTCTAGCCCAAGATAAGGACTTCACGTGGGGTTCTTGGAGCTGGCCCACTGCACGGGTCAGGGAAGCAGAGAAATCGCCCCAGGACAGGGTCTTGTCAAGGGGCTGACCCTGCCTGAGACCCCTGCCCCGATCAGAATTGTCTAGTGGGCCCTACCTACCAGTGCCCCCCATACCCCCAGTCTCCCCAGCCCAGTCAGCAGCATACTTTCTCCAACCAGTGGTTCCTCCACAGCTCTGGATAAGTACGGCTCTTGAGCCCCACAGGTGACTCATTTCCGTTCCTGCCCATTTGCTGAGCAGGGTGGGGGCAGCCTGCCTGGTGGCCACTCCAGCCCCCGTCCCCTCCCCTCTCGCCCCCCAGTCTTTCTACAGGAAACACTTTGACACCGAGGAGACACGAGTGAACCAGCTGTTCGCACAGGCCAAGGCCTGCAAGGTGCTGGTGGAGAAATGGTGAGCCCCTGCCCCACCTGCCCCCAGACTTCTGGGGGAAAGAAGCCAGAAGTCTAGCAGAACCAAGGGTCTCTGGGTGGTGTCACAAGTCACTGCAGCGAGGGGCTCAGACCACAGACACATGGGTCCCCCTCTCAGCTCTGGCTCCCTTTGAGGCTCTGGGAGGGTCCTGGCCTGCTGTCCAGGGTAGCTGTGACTGGTGTACAGGGTTTAAAGGAGTCCTGGGAATACTTAGCTGGGCCCCGGAGAAGTAGGTGCTTTGAAACCACCAGCCGCTTCAAGGGAGCAAGATGAGGCTGTCGGGTCCCGTGAAGGTTCAGAGTCTTTGCAAACCCTAGAGGGCCGTTCTCCATGTCTTCTGGAGAAACCTTGAACTCACTGCTATGGAGCTGATTTTGACTCATTGAGAGCCCTAGTGGCATGGTGGGTCCGCGTTGGGCTGCTAACCGCAAGGTCGGCAGTTTGAAGTTTGAAACCACCCGGCCGGCCGCTCCATGGGGGAAAGAGGAGGCTTTCGACTCCTGTGAGGAGCTACCTACAGTCTCGGGCACCATTGGGGCCAGTCCTCCGTCCTGTAGGGGCGCGGTGGGTCTTCTGTGTCTTTGAGGGTCATGATGCGTCAGAGCTGAGCACACAGTGGGCTTGGGGATTTGCTTTTCCCCGACTTTGTCTGGACCTCATCCTGACCTGACTGCACCTGACCCTGCCAGTGTACAGATCAGGTCCTGGTCCCAGGCACGGGGTGAGGGCCCGAACGGCTTTTTTTTTGAGGGGGCAAAGTGCCGGGTGTCTGTGGGGCACGTCTGCACCCCAGCCTGGAGCTTGCCTTCTCTGAGATGGAGGCTCGCTCACCCCACCCTGCACAGGCTGCAACCCGGGGGGGCCCCCTCGGCTGCTGTGTGAGGCCCCCTCCCCGCCTTTTCCCTGGCTGGCGGTGGTGGTGGTGGTGGGGGTGCAGCGGGCTCAGCTTGCCGGAGGCCCAAGGAAGGAGTGGGGGCTGAGAAATGTGCTGGCTCAGGGCCAGGGGGCCCTGCTTCTTGTCGAGGCGGAAACCCCGCCATACGCAGGCCTTTTGGACCCGGGCCCTGGGATAGTGCCAGGCGTTCTGGGGCCAGGCAGGCAGCCACGGGCCACGTGGTCCAGTGCAGAGCAGGCTGCTGAGGAGGGTGGGCGCTTGTCCCCGCCTACCCCTGGCTGCCTGCTAGGGCCTTGGCGTGGACGGGGCCCCGTCTTGGCCAGACAGCCTTTCCGGAAGGGGCTGCCCACCAGAGCTGGGGGCTTGGGAGCCAACCAGCTGCCCTTTCTGCTGCCAACGATGATGTTCATATCCATGCACGCAGCCCTCCCCAGGAGCTAGCCCCATGCATGCTGCCAGGCGGCCTCAGGAGTCAGTGGGGAAGTAGGTGAAAGGTGAGGGGAGTTCTCCCACCAGGGCTTTGAAGCCTGTCTTTTGGGGGCACAGTTCATGCCCATAACGCCAGGTGATAGTCGGGGCTCATCTGCCTCCCGTGTATGAGGTAGGGCCCCCAGGCCCCAAGCAGCACAAGGCTCACACTGGCAGACTCCCCTAAGCTGGTACTCAGGGCCCTCGCTGTGAAGCAGCGGTTCTCAACCTGTGGGTCATGACCCCTTTGGGGAGTCGAACGACCCTTTCACAGGGGTCACCCAATTCATAACAGTAGCAAAATGATAGTGATGAAGTAGCGATGAAAATAATGTTATGGTTGGGGGTCACCACCACATGAGGAGCTGTATGAAAGGGTGGCAGCATCAGGAAGCTTGGGAGCCGCTGCTGTACAGGATTCACATGGGCCCCATGTGGGCCCCATGCCCAGCTCTAGGCAACGGCAGCCTGCAGGCTCAGGGCAGGGGACACACAGCAGCGGCAGAAGCAGGGGCCTGCCAGGAGTCCCCTGTCAAGGGTAGGCAGCTAGGGGGTGTCAGCGTAGGGCATGTCAGCCTAGGGGGTCAGCGCAGGCAGTGTTGGCTTGGGGTGTCACCAGTGGGGGTGTCAGCCAGTGTGTGTGTTATTTGGGGGCTATCAGCAGCTGGGGTTTGTCAGCCAGTGGCTATCACCTTTGGGGTGTCAGTCTGGGCCTGTGAGTTTGTGGGATCAGCAGTGGCCGGCTGACACTGTCCCCCTCCCCTCCAGTGCAGTCAGCATACAGGACATCCAGGCGCACCTGGCGCAGGGCCACGTGGCCATCGTGCTGGTGAACTCGGGCGTGCTGCACTGCGACCTGTGCTCCAGCCCCGTCAAGTACTGCTGCTTTGCTCCCCGCGGCCACCGCTGCTTTTGCCGCACCCCCGGCTACCAGGGCCACTTCATTGTGCTTCGAGGCTACAGCCGGCCTGCCGGCTCCGTCTTCTACAACAACCCAGCCTACGCCGACCGTGAGTGACCGACCGCCCCCACCCCCCACCTCCCGAGACCTAGGCCCTCTCAGTCCGCTCCCGGGATACCTGACCCAGTCCCCCCCACCCAGGTTAGGCCAGTTGAATAGGCAGGCCACAGCCCTCCCCAAGACCAGCCTTGATTCAGCCACCCAGCCTCCTGTCCACGGGCCTCACACACCCGAGCACACACTGGAGGGGGCACGCGCTCATCACAGTTGACTTCTAGCAGACGCGAGTCTCCATCTGAGCATGTCCAGGCACACAGACGCCTGAGGCACCGCCTGAGTCCCCAAGCATGCAGCTGGGATCACCATTCCAGACTGGAGTGGTCCCCCTACCCCGCCTCTGCCTCCGTGGGTCTCCCCACGTGGCCAGCTCATTTGCAGTAGCTATCTGGTGTGGCCTAGAGGCCACTGTCCCGGTCACTCAGGGACCAGCCCCCCGATCCCCCAGGATGTTTGGACGGGACACTCTCGGCTGCTTCCTGAAAGGTCAGGGGTTTTTGTCCTCTCAGAGGTGCCACAGAAGAAAGGCCTGGCAACCTCAGAAGCCCAGCCCTGAGAACTGAAGCCTTGGCCACAGCCCTCTCGGAGGCTCCCGGGGTGGCAGGGACAGAGGATGCTGGGGTGCCCGCTGACCACCCGAGGGTGACTCCCCCAAGGCCAGAGAGAGGCCAAGTTCTCTCCCTGGGTGATGTGCTGGGAGGGGCCGCCCTGACCCTCTGACCCCGCAGCACCCCCTGGGGTTGGTTGAGTGCAGCAGGACCTGAGGAGGGTGGGTGGACTCCCGCTGTGGCCGTCTGTGCCCCGCAGGGATGTGTAGCACCAGCGTCAGTAACTTCGAGGAGGCCCGCACCAGCTACGGCACCGACGAGGACATCCTCTTTGTCTACTTGGACAGCTGATGCCCTGCCCCTACCCGGAGTCGGGCGCCAGCAAGAGGCCACTCTAGGAGAGCAAGAGGCTCGCGCTGGCCTCCCACAAGCCTCACTGCCCAGTCCGCTCATCAGGGCCACACCTGGGGCCGTAGCCCACCATGGCCCCCCAAACCATCCTCCCTCCATACCCCTAGAGGCCCCCACCGCTGCTCTCACGACTAGTCTCTGCCGCTTCTGGTGAGGACACCCCTCATACCACTTCCCCACAGAGCCTCCA